GTGGGCCCATTCATTCGCGCATTCATTCATTCGCTCATTCATTCATTCATTTATTTATTCGCTATTTCGCCCGCCCTCGTATTTTTCTCCAATCTCTCCGAACTTTTCCCACAGCTTTCACCCACTTTTCTTCGTCAGCGGAATGTTGACTTATCTGTGATTGCCTCACCGATATTGTTGTTCTTGCTGTTGGTGCTGTTGTCGCGTTTGGCATTATTTGTTTTATATTTGACACTGACACACCCACGCACACACACTCACAATGTCTGGGCCATAAAAATGAGACTGCGAATTGCAATAAAATAAAATAAACTGCCGCGCAATATATTTTTTTGCTCCTTTACCACCGCAATTCAAACAGTGTTGCCTACTTCTAGGCTGAACTAGTTCACAAGGACTCTATACTATTTATTTTTGGGTGTGCCATAGAAATAACCAGGGTTTTTAAATCACTTGGAAAGGTGCATAAAAGTATGCCCTTCAAAAATAACGTTATTTCGTAATAAATCTATCGAACTTCCGGATTCAGAACATATTCTTAGAAAGCGATTACTTAAGACCAATTCATAATTTAAATAATGTATGGTTACAATTAATTTGGACTAAAACAATCTTTTAAAATTTAATATATAATATAAATTTAGTCATTTAAAGAAATAATTTCCTCTGCTAGCACATACAAATTCTGAACACAATAGTGTACCCAAAAATCTTGTTTGTTATACACTCTTGCATAATTAGTTAAGCTCATTGGAGTTATTACTTATAAAAATGGGGACAAATCCTACTAAATTAGTTCCCCTATTTCGGCCAACACTGTGAAACCGCACCCAGCCCATAGATTTTTTGGCGGCACGTGTGGCAAATGATTATAGTTGCCGACCCGGCCAACGAAACACAATTCCGGGCATACAAATTATGTAATAATAATAATACAACAGAGGACGTGTCATCTATCATGGCGAAATCGTTTTCGTGGGCGAAAATTTGGGGGCACAATCGTGTGAATATAATGCAGACCAAGAGTGTTTAATAAAGTTAACAGTGGCCAATGTAGCACAATAGCACTACAGTGCTGGTCATGCAAATAGGTGTGGGTAAACAAAAAAATACAAATGGCTATTCAGTCGAACGATTCTTTCTCCGCATTGCACAGCCATTTGTAATTCAAAATGCCAACCGGAAGTGGCAGACGAAGCCATTACACGGATGGTAATAGTTTATGCTCTGGCCACGATGAAGGTCAACAGCGCGAAGAAGGTCAGAGTGGGTGGTGGGTGGTATATGGTAGATGGAAGATGGTGGGGTGTGGGTGGTGGGTGAATAAGTGGTTGTATGCGGTTGCTTTGCTTGCCCCTCTTTATTTGCCGGAGATTTATTTGGTTCCTGCCAGTTTGCATTCACTTATTGATTGCAAAATACGGCGAACGGAGCGCACTGATTGCGATTTTCCAGGATGTATAGTATATTGCTCCTTTGACCAACCACTGTTCATATCCGTACGCTTCCGACTCAATTAAGAGCGACAAAAAGTTCGCAGTCAGCTACGGCGACAAATCCAATTAACAATAAAGCGCCGCCCTAATGACATGCCACGCCCCAGGAACAAAAACTAGCAACTTTTCCGCAGATAGTTGGCTAAAACTGGGTTCTGCGGTGGCTCACTGCAGTTGACCAAATTGAATCGCAGCTGTCAGAAAATTGCTGGCTACACTATGTGCAGAAAAACAACGCACACACGGTCATAACAAGAGCGTATAAATCAGAACACAATGGAGTGTGTGCGCGGTGGGTATTTATTGGTTCAATGTATTATATTTATGAGCACAAGTGTTAATTTTATTACCGCAGAACGGGGCGTATGTGTAATATTAATTATTCCTAGTAATAGACAATGAACGACTGGATTGTGTCAATAGATTAGGTAGTGCAGATAAGGTCGTTTGAAAATCGCAGGAAATGCAAATATGTGAACATAAATTTGAAGGTATAAGTGCCATTTATCAACGGATGGGATTTTGAGGACGCCATTAGACCGCAAAAGTAGGCAATGAAATTAGTTTTACGAGCTAAGCACTTCTATTCATGGGCCACACACACACATACACATATACACACACCTGAAATGGCCAATTTTCGAGGAATTTTAATTGAACGACATCCCGTGGAGACAGGTGGGCAATAATCACATCAAAAATAGCTCAGAGGCCATATCCACATCCATTTCCGAGACTATCCAACGACTGGCTGGGAAGCCATGTAAGCCCGGCCAAATATCTTCATTATTGAATAATGAGCCAAGTGTCCTGGCAGGGCTTTAGCAGATAATCGATGGGAATTTTGCATAATGGTCTTGTCTCTGCCGACTTAATCTCATGACGATCGTTTTGCCCACTCCCCATTCCCCAGCCAACCATTCCGAGTCGCAGCCCCAATTCCCGGCTAAACTTTTTGGCCCAACTCCAACGTGACTTGATGGTCTGGCTGGGATTTTCAAATTTTCAGATTTTCCGATTTAACAATCTCCAGACTTTCACATTTACATTTACCTCACTCCCCTTTCTTTTTTTGGCACTCGTTCGAGTATCTTGCTTATTTATAGAACACACATTAGCTGGGGACAATTGAAACTTCCCACTTTGCGGATAAATTGTTTCATAATTGATTGATGTGCCATCAGGCCAAGTCGACTCGAGAGCAGAGTCGTCGAGCATGGCAGCTGACAGATATTTAATGAACGCCAAAGACGGAGGGGCAACCTCCTTACAAGTAATCGCAATCGCATCAAATCGGACTCAAGTACTTTGTAGTTTGATAAACAATCAACAAAAGGCAAGGAAGAGTTCCCCGTAAATTTCAATATTTATTGAATGTGAGAGATTTCGAAGCTGTTGAGCAGAGTGTAATTTGCTAAGGAGTTTTTTATATAATAATAACTCAATAATAAACGGTTTATAAATGGGTTTTCTAATATATATAAGTTCATCTTAGTTGCAATTTAATCTAATTATTTTTTGTAACTCAAATAAATAAACCATGCAAAATTGATAACAATTCCCCTGTAGTAGTTGTTAATGCTGTCAAAACCAAGCACTTCAACCAAAGCTTATAATTACATACAATTCAAAGAGACAACCCCAATGTAAGCCTCCCCAACTGTCTCTTAATTTTGGGGAAAGAAGGGCTTGCAATTATCCTTTCCCTGATCCTGCAGAATAGATATAGACAGATTCCCAGCCGTTGGCCCACTATCCTGTCTGAGTCCTGTATTCCTGCCGCATTTCTGCCGCTGTTGTTTGGTTTACCCAACTGCCAACCGCAGGTTGCCCGCCCTGTCTGTCTACTCCACATTCACCGGACCTCGCTTTCCCATTTTCCCGCTTTTCCCCTTTAACTACATGATGTCAAAATAATTTCAGTGACACCCGCCATACAGTCGTGACTGGCAGCGTAGAGGAGCGAGCGGGCCAGCGATATTTGGACAGATTTTTGATAGCTCCTCCCCTCCGGCGGCTGTCCGGAATTGAGTTTTGATTTCAAACTCAATTCACATAATGCGGGGGCGGTGTTTGTGCGTTGCTGCCGGTGATTGCTACAAATTCGATTGATTTAACGGCGCGTTTGTTGTGAGCGCTATTGTGCTGGCAGCTAACCAACCACACGCCAAATTTCCTGCCCCACCCATTCTATTTTTCTGTGGGTCAGCCACAATGCGCGTGCCTGGTCTTATTTTTTTTTGAAAACAATTTTTTTAACTCCTCGCTGTCCAGTGAATTGAATATTCCATGACAAATCCGACAGTTGATACCATCCCATGGGAAGAAAAAAAGGGTTCTGGCCGTACGTGACTATTATTCTTAAGATCTGGCAGAAGTTGGCCTCCCTTTTTAAAGCACTGTCTTAAAATATTAATGCATTTACATACAAAGTTTTAATAAAAAACCTAAAAATGCCTTTACAACCCCAACAATAAATAAATAAATTAGTATTTAAGATTATGATTTAATTGTGCATTAAAATACTTGCAGTCTTTCCTACATAGTAAATCATCATCAATCTTTTTTTAAATGCCACAATATTTTGCCATCTGATGAAACATTAAATTTAATAAATATATTGAGCATTAAAATACTGTAAACTTTTCTATGTATTTAATCATTACTGAATTTTAAGTTATCTTTTTATAAAGGCCATATTTTTTTTTTTATCTACTGGAAATATTCTTTCATATATTGCATAAAATATTATTTTTGTCAATTAAAGGAAAATATCATGGGAAACCACAAATTGCTGGGCAATATTTTATAAATCCTCGTTTTTTAGGCCAGCATTTTAAAATACACAAATTTTTATGCCGGAAATGAAAGTGTTTGCCAGCCTCTTGCTTGCCATTTCAAATTATGTTTTTCAATTAATATTTGGCCCCTTAACTTTCTGACCAACAATTCGATTTGCATGCCAATTTTGGAGTGAAGGGGTGTGTGTGAGTGTGTGTGTGTGTTCTGCATGTTAAGCACGTTGGCTGTGAATCTTAATGTTGATTTCCTCTTATTTTTTTAGCAGGGCAGAAGGACTCTTGACTGCTTAGCCCCCGGGTTACTTATAACTAATTGAAATCAGACAGGAAAACGGGGCAGGCAGACGGCCGACGCATTGGTAAATGGAAAAAAATATGTGGCCAGGCCGGGCGAACGAAATCGATGCTGTCGGTTGACAGTTTGTTAATTAAAAACAGCAGCCGTTCGTTGGCTGGTCAGTGGGTGGAAAAAAAAAGGGGTGGCCAGTGGAGCGGACATCTCTGGTCCGGCGGTCACTCAACGTCTCACGCACACACGCACACGGGCCTGGGTTCATGCACTTGGCAGGCTCGGATGGCAAACGTCAGGGTCCGGGCTAATAAATTGCCTAGGGAATCGAAGGACCGGGCGAACAAAGGAACCGGGCGCACGGGGCGTATGAGCGATGGGCTTTGGGGGACTTGGGGGGCACTTCTCACTCACCTATCGTCGTAATTAATGTCAGGGAGTAGAGAAAGGCCGAGGCGTAAGTCCATTTGTGTGTGGGTGCGTTCAGCTGGATGCCGCCGGGGGGATAAACCTTCGACTGGCGCACCGCCCGCAGCAAAGTGTCCTGCGAAATGCCAAGGAAATGCTCAATTAGCGTCCCAAATCGGGAAGATCTCGTGGCTTTTGGGGTGCTCACCTGGAAAAGCTGCACCTCTTGGGCGGCGAGGCGGGTCCAGTTCTCCTTGTACAATATATTCAGGTCTTCCGTTATCGACCACAAACGATCCACCGTCCTATGTGACAAAATAAACAAGATTATTAGAGAATTAAGACACAAAATTAGGTAGATATGCCACTTTAGTATCGGAATCCAATATCTGAAGTTATGGCCTTCAAAAGTACAGTCTTGGCTCAACTTTCTGCAAGCTTTTGCTAAATTTGGACTTATCTAATATAATATATTAAATATTAAAGAACAAAACTTGTAACTACACAACTAGTACATCTTAACTAACATATAAATGGTTTAAAAACGTAATGGTTAATGGCAGAAATAAACCCAAATAAATTAATATTAAAGCGGATTCCAAATCGGTTAATCCAGTTAAGTTATGAGGCAAACAAGGCCATATTTTGGAAATTTCGAAAGAAATTGAATGCACCAATGGAGACCTTTTATATTTACCTCGATCGTATCTCGGCGTTGGCCAGTTCGGTGCGGGGGTAGGGTTTGGAGGCGGCCACCGCGGTCTCCAAGGTGCCACCATCCTCCAATTCGCCCTCGAGAGTCACAAAGACAATTGAGCCCATGGCGGTGTAGAGCAGCACCAACAAAAGCACGCCTGTCGAGAAACCAAAGGGGGTTAATTAAAAGGAATTCACAATTAAAATTCAAATAAACATTTGTGCTTACAAAGGAATTCACCACATAACTTTTTTTATTTGGGTTAAGTTATTAGCAGAAACCAGTTTTTTTAAAGGAAGCCATTTTGTTAAAATCTATGCAAACAGTCGTGATTCAACATAATCCTTTTTTTAAATAAGTCAACTACAAAATTGTAATGCATTAGCTTTTGCATAAATAATTAAAAAATATATGTGCGGCTATTATGTTTATTTGCCATGGTAATTTTTGAAAAGTGAAAAGTGCTTTACACTTGGAATTATGGTACATATGTTAATCCAAAAAATTATAGCCACGTATGGCGATGGGAATTTATAAATTAAAATTGATTCACGGCATATGTAAAGGATTATATTAAACTAATAGGCAAAAACATTAATATTAGTTAGATAACAGTGTCATAAGAAAGCCAGAACTTAGTTATATAAAGCAAATATAATATAAGCTGGTGTGAGTATTAATATATTACTTTTTTTTTTTTAAGTATGACCAATCTATATATCAACTTCCTTTGAATAACATTGGCAAGCGCTGCCACATGGCGTATGAGTAATGCAGCTGTTTGTTGTCATAACTATAAACTGTAGCATACTGTTTGGGGACTTTATTACAATGATAACAGTCGTGATTGAAATTACAAAGTTTTTTATAAAAAAAAATATGTACGGCTATTTTGCAATTTTGCCAAGGTAATTGAAAAATTATGTTACATATGTAAATCCAAATAATTATAGCCACTTATGGAAATGTGAATATATTTATAAAAGTTGCTACATAAGCAAAAAGTATTTTGTTAAACTAAAAGTATAAAAATACCTTAACAAGCCAAATGTAAATTGTTATTTTTCCATTTTACGATCTATAAATTGCCTTTGAATTTTAACAAGCGCTGCCACATGGCGTATGAGTAATATAGCAATTCATTATCCATACGCACTGTTGACATGGCCCACAACTATAAAGTGTAGCACACTTTTTTGGGAAACACTTTGGGTAGTGATGCATAAAACAGATTAAAATTATGCAGATTCGCCTCACCTGTTGCTGATATGCAGTGCGACTTGGGCGCCCGTTGGCAGCCACACAGACTGCCGCCCCCGCCGTCCGCCTCCCGTCCCGCCTGCTTCTCCGACTTGGAGGCGCCGCCACCGCCCGCCGTTCCGCCCCCCCGTCGCCTGCCGACCTCCACGTCCGCCGGAACCGTTCGCTGCTGCCGCTGCCGCCGCCGCTGCCGTTGCTGCAACATTGCTGCTGCCGCTGGCGGCACAGCTTCCACTTCCGCCGCTGCCGTCGCCACCGAGAAATGCCGCCAGCGGCAGTGGCGACTTCTTGTTCATCGTTCGGCCGCCGGATTTGCCTGACCTCCGAGCCCTGGCCAATCTGCGAATCAATCAATCTGCCCGCGAACTCGATGTGCTGCGCAGTCGGTGGAGGTGTAAATTGTCTTCTGCCGCTGACAATCAAATCAGACGCTTTGACGCTTCATGTGCCACGTAATTTGCATCCCCTTTTTCGCCTTCGGTTGTGAGTGGATTTTGCGGCGGGGGGGGCGAGTGTTTTCGATGTTATTATGTGACCGTCATAAAATGTTGTTATTGTTGTACCGCGCCCTTTTACGAGCCTTCTGTTTTTTTCGTTTAGTCTTCAGTTGGGTGAATGTGCCTGTGGATGTGCGAGTGAGGCAGCCTGTCGCGCCGGATGCTGCAAATGCAAAATATTTTCATGAAAACCTGGCCAAAATGAAAATGAAAATTGCGATTGCCAGTGTTTGGGGCGCAAATTGCATGGCAAACGCCGTGTAATTGAGTCAACAGCTTCAGGTTAGCACGAGAAAAAGTAATATCCTGGCAAGCCGATTCAACATATACCCCATAAACACTTCATTAGCGATAAGAGAGACTTAAATATTTCACGAAAAATTACAGGAAAAGTTATCTTAACTGTTGGTTATTTTGGTTTCTTTATATAAATGGGTAACTTTTTTGTATACAAATATATAACAAATTTGTAAAATTAAAAACTTTCTTTTCTGAGCAAAAAATTAAAACACTTATATTACAAAATATATCATATGCAAATATTAAAACAAATTGTCCCTAGGCAAGTTCCAAACCTTCCTATTTATTTATGTTTTGCGATAATAATTTAATTACTATCATAACCGTAATTTTAAACATTAAAGAGTAACAAAGGGAATTCCATAAAACAAAACAATTTAAGGACCACAGAAAGCACACACAGCATGAGAGTGTCAAGCCAGCTGGAGGATCGGTTTCCCGGGTCAGTGGGCGAAACATCCTCATTATCCTGCTAATCACAGTCCACACATTTACATTCGTGTGCCTACACATACATATATCGCCAGTGTTTGTCGCAAATAATCAGATAAACGTGAAGATGGCTGGCATTTAAATTAAAGATTGCGCCACCCAAGCACAAAAACTTGTCGACTTGTGCCAGCGATTCCTTCTGTTTAGCACGTGCCATCCCTTTTTCGGAATTCGGGTGCTCGGATCCTAATCCTGTGGCACTTCAATTAAGGACACCCAGATCCAGGCCTGTTTTTGCTTATTGCTTGCATTTTTGCCAACCCGACTTCAATGCTAATTAGGTGAAGACATCGCAGCACGTTTCTCTCCGCCCAAAACTCCCCATTTAATGAAACATGTTCAATTGTTGTCGCCGCACATGTATGTGGTATATATAACCTGTCATTCAATCTTGTTTGGATACCAGATACTGTCTTGCGATAAGTAAGACACCAATTTGTCTATGTACTTAGGCACAGGGAGAAATAAATGATATTCAGCATTCGAAAATCCCAGGGGTAATCAAAACAAACCATTTTAATTGCAGTTGTTCTCGTTTAATATCTCAATTTTTAGTTTATTGGGAAATTAAAAAGCAATACATTTTGACAACTTTTAATAACATGATTGAAGGGCCTCCCGATAAAAGTGCAAATACATTTACCATTTTCTGCAGTTCATCCAACTGCAATAACACTTTTCCCCCAGTGTCTGGCCATTGAAATAACTACACACATCAGGCGAATCAAGCGAGGTAATTGGTAATTGCATCTGCATATCTCATCTCTTTGGCCGCACAATTGAAATTGATATTTGGAGCATGGCAAAAGGACATGCAATCGGAATGGAAATACTTTTGGTTCACCTCAAGCTAAATGCGACAGTATTTTCGGCTTTTCGCATTGCCAAATGCCAATCTGCATTCCAGACCCCGCTCAAACACGATTATCCTGCCAATTTGCAAAGGGCCAGCGAGTGGGCCATCATCAATCATGTGAATGGCGAAAGGACCACAGACCGAAACAATGCTTCCCGTCCTTCGGACCAAACGAATCAATCTCGGCCAGCAGGAAGGATTTACTTTAAGTGTTTAGCCCGAAAATTAACGTGGTGGTCAAAAGTTTTTCACTTAAACCTTCTATGAAGAACAGAAATATATCATCTTCACTTTTAATATACTTTCATATTTAAAGCTTAAAAAAATTGTTTTAGTCATGAGGTCTTTTATTTTAGACTGACACATTTTATTTTATTACAACAAAATCATTTATTTCATGATTTTTTACTTCGTGAAGCGAGCTCATGCATTTTGAGGGAGTCAAAAAACACTATTTTTATAGTTCCATACTGGAAGTTATCAAAAAATATAAATTGAAATAATTTCGATAGCTTGAAAATTGTTTTATTGTGTTTTTAATTGTTCAAACCAATTATACGTTAATAGTGTTTATGAGTTTTTGATTAATATAATTGTTGAAAACTGCACCAAAGGAAAAACTTCTCTTGAAATATTTAATTAACTTTTGGAATGTTTTATTTGCGACTAGAATGCTTTTTCAAAATATTTGAGTTATTTGTTTGCTTCGCTTTGAAATGGAAATCAGGTTCGCAGATTCAGGGTTTAGATTTGCTTTTGCTTTGTTCACTCCCATTCACGGCATTCCTGACATTTACGTATTACACCTGTTTATGACGCCATTTTCCAGTTTAACCACGCCTCCTCCCGCCCACACACACATACGCACACACTCGTTAAGACGGCACAGCATTTATTGCGCCCTTTTAATTGCTGACATTTATTGAACGCTTCGCCGTGTGTTAAATCTACCATGAGAAGAACGCAACATCGATGGCAGATGAATGGAGGGACAGGTGAGGAAATACTTATGTATGCACACAACTCAGGTGTGTGTGTGTGTGTGTGTGTGAGTGTGGGAGTGAGTGTGCGTTGTTGCCTTTGAGTCTGACTTAAGTGCAAACTTATGCCAATTATGCAAAGCTTTTCCCAACAGCCATTCGACATTCACTTTTACATACACGCGCAAAAAGGGGCCAACCAAACACAAGTGCGTAATTAATTAACCATTTGATGTTCGGTTTTAAAATTACAAATATATAATATAATATAATTATACAAAATACAACATATGTTGTCGATAAATAACATACTCCACATGGAAAAGATTTTATTTAGTTGGATTGCTTATATGTTTTATGATATAAATGGTTGCCACAAACAAAAATAAAGACTTTATAAGCATTTAAATAAGCAATAGATGATAATAGCAATACGATTTCATTCGACAGATGTGATTACATCTTAAACTTAAAATGCTTTATGCTTCTTTGACTCTAAAACAATTAGATTTATAATATTTTTTTCTCTGTGTACACATAGCTCAATAAGAGGCGGTGGTAGCAAGAAAACTCAAGCAGATTACACGGATCATTAGCTCAAATGAGAAAGTTCACATGTTCTGCTCCTGGTGATACGGATGGTTCTCTGGCTTCTTCTTCTCCTCACTAAACACGACGTCCAGCACTTAATCAAATGCAAGCAGCACCCAGGAGAAGCCAACCAAGTGTCCTGCTCCAGGTCCTGCCAACTGTCGATGAAGAAATTGTGGGGCAAGGGGAATTGGAAAGGGGGAAGGGGAAAAGGATGTGCCACGGCGAAGATAGATGCTTTTAAGATGCCGAGATAGGGGCGATGGAAGAAGGGAAGACGAGATATGTACAACCAATATGCCTGATTGAAACGAAGTAGCTTTCCAGGACATGCGACAGGACACACGCAGGACACGTGCAGTTATTTGCGGAATTTTGATAGATTTTCCTGCAACTGATTTGCGCACGTCCCAACAAAGGCAAAAGGTGAATCAAATGGTGCGGCCAGAGATCCCATCCTGTCCTCCCCATTTCCCCCCCCTTTCTGCCCCCTCATTTCCTCCCCCTCCCTTTTTGACCAAAGTGCAAACCAGTGTCCGTCCTGTTCAAGTCAGTCCTTTTGCCGTTTGTAAGTTTTCCACCCTAATGATGAGTGTCCACTCGCAGAAAGCATACCGCCAATACCTAATCTCCTAATGGGAGATTTCAATTAAAGCTGTTGTGGAATTTCCAACAAACATTATTATTATGATTATTAATATATCATTATGACATTATTATGTGAAAACTAGAGCTGTAGTTACTGATGTAGACCAATGTATGATTAAAATTCCAAAAAAATATGAATTAATGTTTTTTCAAGGAACACTTAATGGTAAACTATTTCTGCAAGTGCTGATAAGAGAGGCATTGCGACCTAAGCAGACAGCACATCACGCATGCCACCAAAAACGATTCTCGTGTCTAACTGACTGGCAGGATGCAGCAGCCAGGACATGAGTTCGCAGCACAAAAAAAAAAAAAGAAATCAGAAAGGAGTTTAGCCATTATGGCTGGGTGGAAAGGAAGTCGAAGGGGGGGAGGGGGTTGAGATGGGTTCGGTTGACGAAAAGGGGGTCACATATCCAAATATCCATTTCTCACTCATTGCGTTTTTGGCAACTTGCTGCACAATTAAACGGCAAATCACGCCTAGGATTTGGTAAAAGCATCCAGTGCCCAACATCCTCTCCTGAATGCAGCAACAACAATGGCTGGCCAAACCGCACAGAAAGCAATTGGGAAATGGCACAAAAACTGGAGCATGGCCAAAGGCGAAACCATGGAGAGATCGGAGGCGAGGGCACGAGATTGATGACGAGCACTGTGCGGGAAAAACCACCGACGTTGGAAAGTTGGCCAGAAGGCAAAAAGTAAATTGCAAATGAAATGTAGAGAGCTTTGACATGGAGGTGTGTGTGTGGGGGGGGGGGGGTCGAGATTCTGGACGAATAGGGGCCAAAACTCCGGTTCGAAAGGGGCGAAAACTGATCAGCGGGGCGGTCAAAGAGTCATAAAGAACCAGAAAACAAAAGTTAGACAAAGCCTCGGGCACAACAAAAATAAAAAGGAGGTAAAAACTACACAAAATCGGAATAGAAAAAAAGGAGTAAGTACAAAGCACAAATGCGATTCTGTGAAAACAGAACATTTCAAGTTAAGTGACACGAAAAGATCATAAATGTCACAGAGACCAGTAGATAACTACATAAAAATAACAGCGCAGCATAAAACGAATAAAAACATCACCAAGGAAAGAAAAACCTTATAAACCCTTATTTACTTATTTTTTAACATACCAAAAAAAAATAATTTTTATAATTAAATGTTTCACTGTACTCAGATTTGTATTAAACCGTAAAAAGTAGGTATTAGTAAATTTAACATGAAACACGTCATGTCCATAAATATTTCGAAAAGTAACCTATACCCAAAAAGTGAACCCTTTCCCAATTAGAGTTGGTT